CTAGCAATTCGGTTAAGGTTTGATACTCCATTAGATTTGCAGAAGGAAATAGAATTGCGTCAAAAGAAAAAATAAAAGGTATACCAGCTGATACATAGGAAAAAGGTATAAAAATTCATGTGATTAAATTACTGTGGAACAGTGCACTTACGTGCTTGGAATATATATCATACGTTAAACTCGCAAATCGTCGCATAATCTATTTATAGGGGTTTTTTGTGTCGGATAAAATAAATGTATATAGAAATCAAAGTAAAAAATGTTACCAGCCCTCAGGATAACGGAATAAAGTCTAAAGTCTATGCTCCTATTTCTAAAAGGCGCTTTCGGAATTTAACCTGCAATTGACTCTTTTTAGAACTTATCCAATTATATGGAATATAATATTCTTCATATTGTCTATTAATAATGGAACCGCGCATCATAGGATCGTTTTTATATAATTCAATTCATTTAGTACGCCATTGATTAAATTGTTCTCGAGTCTGAGGATTTTTTACTTTACGTCTCGTTAAACTAAGAAACTTTCCATCGTCTGGAGTATTATCATTTGGTAAGCTATTCCATGCAAGCCGTTCATTTGATGGCACTTTTTCTTGGAATCGGCGATAAGCAGTTTGTATGATTCGAGCATATCCATCTTGAGATTTTGGATTATTACATTCATGATCCCAATGATACTTCATCAAATCTGCAGGTTCAATCTTTTCGATATATCTGTAAATAGCAGAAGCATATACTTTCTTCGATTTCACATCATTAACTTGAATCAATCTCCAGCAATCAAGACAAATTGCCATATGAGTTTTGTGAATTCTCGGTCTGTAGTAGCGTGATTGACTAGCTTAGAATTTCCAAATCCACCATATAAACAGTATACGTGATATACGCTTCTTTTCTTTTCAGAGGCTAACTCTTGTAAAGGAACCCTAACCCGAATAGCCCATTGTTGTGGAATTTCATTGGGTCGAATAACAGATGAAGTATCATATTGTCTTTCAATTTCAAAGAGTTTATCGAAGAATTGTTGATAATTATTAATTCCACAATATATCCCGGTCTATTATTAATGGATTTCTGTAATTTAGTTTTTTATCAATAATAATAGGAATATTAAAACTCGACATATTTATCGCTTATAGAGAATATTATATTTAGCGGTTTTAGCGTTTTTGACCTATCAAGATTTGGGTCCTTTATAGTATAAGAATATGATTTATTTTAGTGCGGATGCTCGGAGAGCGCCCATAGGGCCTGGTTATTAGATGAGTTGCGTATATTTGTCATATTTTGCGAGTGGAATATATGATGATCTATTTCGGTGTATTGCGAGATATGCAAAAATTCTGATGATCAGACCCTCTTTGAGGTATCAAACAACTACCCAATCAATTGATAATGTGTTATTATATATCGGGATAATCGTTACATAATCTATTTCAGACGTATTATGACTCTTCGAGTCGCCCCTACGGGCCTGCGGAGCAATGTGGTTTCACCTCTACAAGCATATCGATGAGCCGGAAAAATTTCCGCCGAAAAGTAAAGCTAAATTTCGATTCCCAACATGCGTTCAAATTCATAATGAAACAAGTTATTGAGAAAACAAACAATTGTTAAACAATATTTCGCAGTCCTCACTACTGACTTTCCATCCCAATCATCGAAGATAACTAACTATTCTATTCAAAATAATAAAATTCAGTAATAATTCTATCGTACTCGTTCCATACCAGCTGGGTAAGAAAGCATTCATCCAAATTCTTTCCAAGTGGTCGTAACAGACCAACCATAGCATCCCAATAAAATACTCGACCATAACAATCAAGAAAAAGCAATCCATTTTTATGTTCCCCGATGATAATAATGTGATTGAAACCAAACCTTTGAATACACTCTAAATAATCGGTAACATCTGATTCTTTTTTTATGAGCTCATACAAAATAGATTTCGCAATACGGCGGGCATCAGATTCATTCTTAATCTTTTCCACTACCATGAGATCATTTTTGCAACGCCCATGTGGTTCATCTTGTCTGCTGCCCGCCGGCACTTGATGCACGGGAACATGGTCGCCATCTGCGTTCTGCGTAAAGATATGGTCCGGCTGTATAAGACAACACGGTGTTGTCGGCTCCTCTGTCGTCCAGTTAGTGCGTGCCAAGGTACCAACTCGGAACAGTTGCCCCAAGAATGTCGACAATTCGTAAGTTCCTCCTGTGTTAGGACAACATTGGAGCGACACAAGAGTTCTAGCATCTCGGCCAGATAGGTTTGTGTCATTTTCCTTTTTTTGATATGGTATCCCCAAAGTAGGGCTATAGCGTCCCAATATGTGTTTATGGGGATCAGGCGAAAATGAGGTAGAGTCACCAACTTGTGCGTGTCCGGGGTAACTATTCCCTGAGTTCTATATAAAATAGACTTTGTTAAATATGATCAATGCGTTGGAAAATTTTTTCCGTGCAAAAACAGACCTGAAAGGTACTACGAACTCAGCTATTATTTCTCTCTGCCATGGTTCTTGCAAGGTGTCCAACCAAGTGTACGGGCTTGAAAGAGAGTAAAGTGCTCGAAACAAGCTAGCACACTTTGTTTGGTGCACGACGACCTACTTTTAGTTGTTCCCGGTTCTGGCCATGATACATGAGTGAGGGATATGGTTACACTAATGACATATTTAAGTGATATTACGTATTCATGATGACATATTAGTGTGTCGGATCCTCAACACATGGCTGAACATGTCCACAGGTAGATTGGTTGAGCCCCTAATATACTGATAGGCAAGAAAGAGTTAATGAATGTAAAACATTTATATAATACATTACATTTTCATATAAAAATAAGATCCCCACCTGTGACTTTGTACAGACTATGACCTTTACATTATATAAGTTTTTCTTTTGATGTTGAGGTTGAGCTTCAGTGTCAATGGTTTCAGTCATTGATTCAGTGGTGTGGTATGGAGTATGAGCTTGATGTTAAGATTAAATGTTCATGATGTGATGGTGCATGTGGTGTATATGGTGTGGTTGCTAGATAGGTATATACTGTATTAGTATATGCACAATTGTGAGTGCCATAACTGGAAAACATGAAAATGAGCACAGTGCACATAATTTTGATGTGTGCCATTGCCCTAAACCTACTCATAATTGTCTATTCATTTCATCATCTATCAGTATCAGCTGTGATGAATCACTTGATCTGCCCAAATGTCCAAATGTCCTCCCTCTTTTATTTTTAAATCATTATAGCACTTTTCAAAATAGTATGATCATCATTCAAAAAAAATTGAAAACGAAAAAACGAAAATGAAAACACCGTCAGCCAATAGAATTGGATATATCACGTGGTCCAAATTAACCTCTATCATCTCAATACAAAATCAATGGATGACAAAATCAAATGATCAGGTTAGCAAAATTAGGCAAATGTTATGAACAAATGTTAGAGGAATGCTGTAATTCATAAAGCCAACTTTTTGAGCTTTTATTGATAAAGATGTCTATCTTCATGAGACAAAATCTTCGATCTCTCATCAATCAAGTTAATTGTTTTCTAACTATCGGTCCCTATAAGAAATCAAATCGATCTAGATATCAATTCACTTTCTATTCATCAAAGAACATGAGAACCTTGGAGAAATGATCTTTAGTGTTCAATGACTTAATAACAAGAGCTAATATTACATACTCTACGTAATCTACCTTTTACTACTGCCTTCCTTTTTCTGCCAAATCCAATTAATTCAACCTCCCCATCAAATAACTTTCTCCTTCCATGAAGGAACATTGATATACACCCACCTCCTTCTATGTTCTCAAGATGTTGTAAACAGTAGAGTGAGAAAATGTGTCTCTTCTTGTTCACATCCGTCTTGATGCACATATAGTATACTATTCTCCAATGTAAGTTTTCACTGAGACTTTTTGGCAGTCTTCTAATGTATGTTTAGTGAATAATGTTAAAAGACAGGCTGTAAATACCTTATGTTAGTTTCATACTCAGTTATAATCACTTCATAATCATTATAATCATCTTATAATCGTTGTAATCGTTTTATAATCATTTGTAATTGTTGGTGTAACCATTCAGCAAGCTTTCTTTTCTCGACTTCTGCCAAGTAGAGCGACTATGTTATACTAAGTAAACACATTTGTTGTTTCGAAGAGACCCAGTAATCACTGAGTTATAGAAGTTTTCACGAACTTTCACCTGTTTTCAAGTTATAATTGCTGTTTTCACAAAAAAAGTTGTGCAAAATTTTGTGTGACTGCAGAATTTTGAAAACAGTGATAAAATAAGCCCAACACGTTCAAAGATGTTTTCATTGCTTGATGGGCTACTCTCAGCCTCCAGAATGGTGACTTTTGTGGTGTTTCAATTTTACAGCCAATTGCAATTTTGTTAATTTCATCCATGACATTCAAATTGTTGCAAGTATAAGTATTGATTGACATATTCTTTTTATATAACATAATTAATATTCTTGACATAATTGATACTATTGTTCAAATGTTTGTATTTCACTTTTTAAACAACTTAAAAAAAGGTTAAAAATGTAAACCTGCGTTTTTTAGATATAAGAGCGGGCAATACGTTGCATGGGGATGATTTGATCAGGTGATCGTCGAAGT